ATGGTACATTTAATACCAGGTGCTGTTTAGTATCTGTATATCTTGCATTTGCCTATTTACTGATGAATAATAATGTTATCCTTTGCATATGCACATTTATTATCAAGTGCTGTTAAATATCTGTATATATTGAATTTGCATATTTATCTGTTGCATATGTATTGTCCTAATAGTCTCTTTGTTGTCCATAGCAGCTATCAATGTACTTATGGTACATTTATTACCAGGTGCTGTTAAATATCTGAATATATTGAATTCGCATATTTATCTGTTGCATATGTCCCGTCCTAATAATCTCTTTGCTGTCCATAGCAGCTATCAATGTACTTATGGTACATTTTTTGTATAATATTGTATGGTATCCTATATTCGTTAACTTTTATGCAGGCTAAATATGTTATTTTTATTCCTCATAATCGTATAATTAGCCTTATTGCATGTTTTTCCCACAATACCACGTGATCAATTGTATTGTACCGCTATTGCATTCCTGTTACTAAGTTTGGTACGAATCCTGTACCGTAATTGGTAGTAACCAATGTATCGACCTTGTATATCTTAAACACAGTTGCATGCTAAATATATTTTGTATAACATATTCCTTTTTCCTAACTATTGTTGTACTATAGGGATTGAATGCGTACCGAGATCAAATTTATTGTACGCTACCTACTTCTTCTGTATCACATCACTACCTGCGGTATTGTAACATGACTTTGTCATAGCGAATATCTAGTTTATTACACTGACTTTCAATATGTTGCTTTGTCAAATATATGTGTACTTGGCTATGCAATGTATCCCGATCCAGTTGTTGTTAGTCTTCTGAATTAAGTCGAATTCTGAATGCTTTACGCATTTCCCATGTATCAGTACTTCCAGTCACACACTGATGGCTATTGTATTCTTTTATTTTTATTTCTTTTGGTATATCCTCTGTGTATTGCTGTAATCATTTACATTCATTATGTCACTATGTTCTCTATTTTTATGTTATATTGTCATTAAGTCTAATTCTACTGTCTATATTTTACTCATTGTATATTATTGGGCTACTCAACATCAGACTGTACTTTAGCTTATGTATATTCTATATTTGTGTGTATTACACCTTTGTAAAATTTTTGCTTATTGTCAAAACTCGCCCTTTTTGGCCCTGCACGCTTTTGTTATTTTATTTAATAAATGTGGGGCCTGGGCGGTTGTTGGGACTGTCTTTCGTGGGCATTTGGTCTGTTGGACTGCCCCCGGGTTGAATTTGGCTTTGGGTTTGGGCGCCCGGTGCGTGGCGTCTTGTGATTCCTCTTTAGGCTCTAGATATAGGTGGATGTGGTGCTATACCGATTAACCTTTTGGTAAAGGGACAGTGCCCACGTCCTCCGTTGCTTATCGCTTATCGCTTGAGTTGTCATTTCTCAATAAAACACGCCACCTGGAAGGATGCACTTGAAGGAATAAATAGAAATGAATTTTACACTAGATTGCCGTATCTGATGAAATATTGATATGGCACCATAACACTAAGCAATTGGGGCAGATGAACTGTCCCAAACATCCCTTTACTTGCAGAAGCTGTTATTACTATATTATTTGTTTGTTGATTATTATTAGAGATTCATCGCTACTATCCGATGTAAATACAGTGTATTCATTTTATGTCGCAGACTGAAAATTACAGTGAAATGTTATAGCTCTGATTGGAAAAAAAAAAAAAAAAAAAAAAAAAAAGGCTCCCTTGAAATTCTCCTCCGTGTAGCAATGATCAGTACATATGGTGTTATTATGTCCTCATGTTGCATCACACTATCACACTGCAGCGCCAAAGTTCACATATAAAACTGTACAAAGTCCTTCATCATCCATAATTTTCCTCTGAATGATATCTGATTGACTATTGACTCGTTTATTAGTTCAGCGTCTTTTTATGCACAAAATTAGGCGCTGACCCGCAGGATCCAGCAAGCAGTTTATAACTTCTTTCTCTAGGGAATTCATTCACTGGCAAAGCTATGGCAAAAATATTGGAACACCGAGTAAAATTACTTTGAAAAGCTACGTATAAACTGCTGATTTTATCTGCTTAGGATTTGATTGTGACATGCATCTGAGAGATAGTTCAACCACTCTAATCAGTCATTGCCCGGATTTAATTACAATACGTTCCTCGGAGTATGCAAAGAAATTTTGAAGAGAATAAAAACTGTGCAATTACTTTTGAAATAGCCCATTTCATGGCATTTAATTTTAATATTATAATATTCAAGAATTGCATATATACTTCCTCTATCTATTAGATATTTGTTTAGTATTGATCCATACCTAAAATGTTTTGGCGTGCATTCAGTTACCATACCGCAATGTCTGCTACCTTCTTTGATAATTTATAAACATTATTTCATTGAGGATACAGAACTAAAATAGGGAAATGAGTTAAAATCTTGAGATAGGTACTTTGGTATTCTTATTCGTGATATCTTAATATCAAATTTATGGTTACACATTTCTAATTTAGTTATTTATGTTTTATGATTCCTAATTTTGCTTTTGTTATTGCAGATTATTTTTGATCTCTTAAACACATCAAATTTTTGCCCTCCACATTTTGTGTTAAGCATATACTCTATAAATTTTCTCGAAGACTGACATGTGAAGTAATGGGCATTATGTTATGACCAAATTTTGATTGATTTGTTGTTCAAAGATTTTGGAAAGCTAACCGTTGTTGCTTTTTAAAACATAGAATTATACTGTGCAGTTTGAAAATGCTTCTCTTTAAATTTTTAATGTGTCTTAAAAAAGTCAAAATGGAAAATTATTTGTTAACTGTATAAATAATACGATATTGTTTTAAAAAGATTTTTTACTACATGCATTCAGTCTGACCAGATCAGATAGCCAAATGCTTGCTTATGACCATTATCATTTGCAGTCGTGATGTATGCGTAATGTTCTTGAATTGGTGTTTTTAATAATGTACACTGCGCACATGCGAAATAAATTTCACATTTCGGAAAAGTTTTTCCGCCCCAATGGCGGGTACTTGCCTATGACGGCAAAGGCCACTACTAAGGCCTACTAAGGCCTGAAATTTATTTATCAACACACTGCTGGGTGGATCTTACACACTGATTTACACAAAAAACCCCACATTAAAAATGACTCACGTGAATTTTATTAGAGAAATTACTTCGAATTTGCTTCGAGCTAATTCACACAACCTAAATTTTACATTATACCTGGACCTCGTGCTCATCAGTCGACGTCTGAAAGAAAATCAGATACACAGTATTAAGTCACATCATCACAAAAGCGTTGTGTAGTTTGCCAAAAAGACACTGTAAATATGTATTCTGAATGAAAAAAAAATGCTCCATGTACACTGCTTCCCTCAATATCATTGATACTGAGAAAGTGCTAGAAAGGATTACAAAAAATAAGTGTTTAGACATTTTATACATTTATTGTTTTATACATTTTGTGCTACTGGTTCAAATCCCACGCGCTTTCTAAAGGATAAAATATTTTATTTTTTATCAGTAAGGTATTTTATATTTTTAAAATAGCATTTATACATATTAAGTAATTGTTAGTCAAGCTTGTGTCAGTGTAAATTTGTTTTTATTGTTTCTTTAAACTTTTAACATTGCATTTCTTATAAAATAGTACGCTAATTAAAAAATATGTAATTTTTTATGAGTTTACTTAAATTTTATTAATTTCACATCAAATTGTTCAGTAAATCGTTATTACAGATTAAAATTTTAAAATATTCATCATACAATGCTTTGTTTTCATGAAGAGAAACAAAAAAAAAAAAAAAAAAAAAAAAAAAAAGACAGCGTTAGATGGCAAAGTTCCAAAAATGGAACATCCGCGAAATCATAGACAATTTTTTATGGAAATTTTTTTGTTTTATAGTCTTTATGGATGTATTCTAATGTGAATTTGATGAATCAGCTGTGACTTTTATTTCTGGATTATAATGCGGCATGTAAAACGTTAAGTTAATTGCCTGTTATTCTTTATATGTTTTTTCCCTCAAATGCCATAGGCTAGCATACCCTGTTGTTTTGTAAAGCTCAACGAAGTTTCAGCTTAAAATTTATGCTTCGGATACATCAAGTACACTCCTTTGGTAAGTAACCAAGCCTATCTATTACTATGTATTACTCTTAACAGCACCAAAAACAAAGTAGACGTATTATCTTCATTCTTTTTGGAATTTTACAAACATGAATATTTAAGAATATAAATATTTTATATAAATGTCTAATTAATAAAATATCTAATTAATACTTCTGAGTTGCGAAATAATTGGTACTAGTACGTGACAAGTTTTCGACATATACATTTTTCTTATTTTCGTGATTAGGAATCTGATATTTACCAATCAGAAAAGGAATAAAGAACTAATGAATTCCTGCGGATATAGCAAACTTCTATTCCGCTTCCTTTCTGATATATAATTCTATTATATGAAGCAAATGCGTGTTGTAACGTTGCGGAAAAACAATTGGCAAATACTTCGTGAAGGAAGGCTTAAATTAAATGCGATTATAACTACGTGATGAAAGTGGTTTTTTCAAGTATAAAACAAAAGCTGTTTTTAAAATCGTTTCAGAATACAAAGGTTAAATTTTAAATTCATGAATATTTTAATTAACTCGTAGATATATCAGAAAAATATTTCTTATAATTAGCAATGCACCTTATATTTAAGAGACGTTAAATAACATAAAAAATGCAGTATCAGTAATATTTAATGTACATTACTCAAAGGCATTTTGTAGTTACTTGGTGTAGTGCTGCACAACCTACTGAAGCGTACTTCAATATAATATTGTACAATCAAATAAGTTTATAGCAAGTAGAAATTCTATTTTCGAATTAATATAAATGTCATTCATGAACGTTGATGGAAAATCTTAAAATCAGACCATTGCTTATTATTCGGAGACAGAGCTGGTAACCAGACTTTAACTAATTAAGCGAATACTGACCTGCGCTGCATTCTCCTGTGTAAATAATCCGAATAATCTTTCTTGATTTGCATCCTTCAACCCTTAATGTACATTCATTCGTATACGTCTTTCCATCCGATCCACAAACTGGCCTCAGATCTGGCGAACACAAGGCATTACATCTGCAAATGGGATTCCGATGTTCGTCAAGTTGGCACACTTGGGATGAAGGACATTCCACCCCTTCACATGGATCTAAAATAGAATACGATAACATATTTTAATCTATCGAAAATATATTTACTGTAAAGAATAAGTTTATTTGCAGTTATAAATAAATTATATCGCTTTAGAAGATGCAAGCCACTGTGAAAGATGCTCTGTTAATGGATTTATAATCTTATTTAACTAAAAGAAAAATAAACGTAAGTTTGTGGTAGTAAGGAAACATACCGATATAGCATAGCACAGGAGACTTTCTAAGAATTGTGTATTTTAAGATCTTTTAATGCTCTTACATTTTATGTCGCAAGTTGTTTCCCCAAATATTAGTCAATGCTGCAAAATGCATTCCTGTTTTTCCAAATCCATTTCTGGTATTCATCATCTTGTGAAAACTTTATACCGGCTTTCCATTTTTAAAGAATTATAGTTTTTCCATTGGTAAAGAACTAAATGTACTTTTACATCTGCTGCTGGGACTTTCTTAAAATTCAAAATAAAAAATTATTTAACATTTTTCACCCTCATTATACGAAGTTTACTTACATTAAGGGTTCTCAACAATGGGAAAAGTCCCCTTAGGGCTTCGTCTTTTCAGGGGTTTGCGGTCAGGCTTTTATTCAGGTGTTAAGTATTTAGTTTTAATTTATGAATAGAAAAAGCTAAGTCTGTTCAAGTTTTGGTATTTGCCAAAAATGTTCTCGTTCTTTTTGCTGTTTAATTTATGAAACACGTTAAATAATTAAAATCTAAATAAACGTGTAACATTTTTCCAAGTTTTGGAAAGGAGAAGAGCAGTGATGAAAGGGATGCATAGGGCAAAAAAGGGTTGAATACACCTGAATTACAAGGTTATCCTTGAAATGAAAGTCTCCAAAATTTCTAGCAATACAGTATAATAACATACTACGGATATATCGTTGATATCATGTCAAATCGATAAGGAGCTTTCACTTTGCCTCATAAATAAGCTTGCTTATTTTGATGCTTCATATTGAGTTAAAAAGAGATGCACACATTTCCCAGATTTGTATCAAGGCATTAATATATAAAAGGTTATAAGCCGACTTTTCCCCAAGCGTCACAACACTAAACAACGTTTATACAAAAAAAAATTATCATAATCAAAATTCATGATTATGTTCTATTGCCGACAATGTGCAAATTGCACATTTATAATATATTCATGAAGCGTCTTTAAAGTTTTAATCGAACTAATCAATCGGATAAGTCCTTTTAAACAGTAAAGATGCACTATTTTAGATATTCTATGGTAATCAAGACGATTATATCTTTTTCATTCACATTATAATTAAATCTCGTAGCCTTTTTATGCTTAAATAAAATATCAGCTGTCAGATTAATATTATACATACCTCCTAATTTAACATATCTGCCAAAGAGAGATGGAAAAATAATAATTTTCCTTGGATCATTATTACCTGCTAATATGTTGCTGGCTGCAGTCCAGTGTTTAACGATTGCAACCAGCAATCAGCAGCCAGTCTTTATATCTACTCATGTCATTTCTCCATATTTTTTCAATTTTGTATTTTATTTTTGCCATAAATTCATCTTTTTCTTTCAAAGTTCATGCAGTCATGCTCCATTTGTGCGGAATATAAGATCTGAGTGCGATGTAGTCTCATTTAAGGGCCATAATTAGAGTTAATGTTTTATTATTCGTCTAAGACCTTCTACTGCATTTCAAAATCTAGCTACATAAATGTCTACATTAATAATAAAGTTAATGAAACTTTGCTTACTCAAGTTAAATAATGCTTACATCTGTCTGTCTTGAGGTTATAAGATAGAGTTTCAATTTTCATTTAGTAGAAATATTTCGCAGCCAATAAAAACGTTTAATATCTTATGTCTGCAAACGTTTAATTTATAATGTCTACAAATTTCCTATTCAACTTACTAGAAATTTACAATATGTTATTCTATTCTTTGATTAAAAAGATTCTACATTTCTTTTGTTTGCTTAAATATGCGTTAAAGAACAAGCTATCTTGAATTTGTTTCGATAGAATATATTGTGTGCTTGGCACTATGTTTAAGTATCAATTCAATATATGTATGCAAGTATCAATACAATCTGTATTGATACTTGCATGGTGAGAACTCAATAAACTCAGTTTAAGAGTAAATTTAAACCTTTTTTTAATTGTCTAAAATTTTCTGATTTTTAATTGTGATAGCAGTTGGTTTTGGTACTATTTCTGAGGGCTATTAGCAAACACTTAAATAGCAGTTAAAATTGTTTAGAATTTTTATCATAACCCATACTGTGGTAGAACGTCATAGAATCCTAATTAGTAACGTGAACCAAATTCTAGTTTCCTCTGCTGAGTTGAGCAATCATTGTAAAAATACTGTTATTCAAAATTGGAGAAGTATCCTAACGGTTTTTTCATATATTTTCAAAGGTTGAAGATATACCATATTAATGTTTTGTTTGATGTTTCATATTCATGAAACGTTTCCTCCGAAATTTTATTTTAGGTTTTGTTATAGCTGTAAATTATCTTAGATGGAACCTGAAGTTCCAGCTCGTGAATAATGTTCAAATTTTTAAAGTAATACTATGAGAAAATTATTGTCTAATTTCCTTTTAAATAATATCTAGATAGAAATTCAGAGAATTCTTTATTATTATTTTTACTATTATCATCATCAACAACTAACTTTGTTAATAAATTAAAATCTTGCAAGTCAGTGATTGGGAACAATTTGAACTGTATTCACTATCAAAAAGAATGCTATATGCACTATCAAAAGAATGCTATATGCACTATCAAAAGAATGGTATAGAAATTTTCATACCAAGTTTTGAAATACTTTTATGTATGTAATTAAAAATTTTTTAAATTCTGGAAATGTTATCAGTGGAAGAGGGACAAGAGATAAATAAATAAACTACATGACCATAACGGGGAGACAAGATTTATGAACAGGTTAGTTATGCTAATGCTTCTTCGATTATTTAATAAGCAAATTTAAGTTTAAATTCATCTGTAGTAGCCATTATCGGTAAATTATTTGTCCTCAGTATATCAATACAGAAACTAAACTGGGCATTCTGGACTTAAATCAATTAGTCCTTATCTCTATCTATAAAGTCCTAATGTATATCTGTTTAAAATATAGAATATTCATTACTAGACCATTTATATAGTATCCACTAAGAACTCACGTACCTTAAATGTATGTATTAGAAATGAAAATGCGTTTTCAAATTTAACGCGGCTTCTTAGTTGCTCATTTGCGTTTTGTGATAACACATGCACGTCTTCTCAAATATGAACGAGGAAGCGAAAAATATTACCGTACAATTTACTATATACATTACACTAAGCTATGTAACATGCAATTAAAGTGACTCAGCTGATTTGCGTGGACCTTACACTAAATGTTGAAACACAGACTCCTAATTTTTAAATATATCATATTCTCTATTTTAAGTCTTGTTTGAAACAAAATAAATATCATCAAACTATTTTTTGTAATAAAACAAGTTATTCAAAAAATTTTAATAAGGAACTCCCATGGTGATTCAGGCACATGAATGTTTTGTTCAGATGTTTCAGCAAACTAGGCTTCTTGGTATATATATATATATTTTTTTGTTTTAGATGAAAATGTATCACAAGAATTATCGTCTGGATTTGGAAATTATTAACTGTTTAGAAAAATTATCAACGCCTCCTATATCTGAAGTGCATGTAGCAAGATGCCACAGATTAGTGACAATTTCTGTTAGAAATTTGACAAATTATCACTTTAAAGATAAATAAAAATATCATAAATATCCCAAAATAGCCTTGATATAAATCACTCAATTATAGTTAATGCTATAAAAGGACAGGCATGGCATAGAACTGTTGAAAATGCACTGAAGTCTGGATCACATTCTAAGGTAACGCAAAGAAAATTTATCATACCACAAATGAAACAAAATATTAAAATTAGTGCTGTAATACTTGCAAGATATTTAGAAGAACAGTTTTCAATAAAAGGTGACTGTATAACTGTTAGAGTAGTGGTTAGGACACATGGTTACAATGGACGATCTGCAAGAAGGAAATTCTTCTTCAACAAGGAAACAAAGAAAATATATCTGGCGTCCGCAAAGTCCAAGATAAGAGAAAATTTATCATGTTGTAAAAATGTTATATTTGCAGATGAATCAAGATTTTAAAGATGGTTGGTTGGTTTAATTTATTAGGCAAAGCACTCGAGGGCTATCTGCCTTAAGGGAGGAATACCTTCGTGGAGGACGTTTTAAGGGAAACTGGCTCGTATACACGTTACACATGGGAAAACCACGAAAACACCCATGCAACAAGCCCGTTCGCGGGATTCGAACCTCGGACCGAACTACCAGTGTTCAGCGACGTTACCGCTAGGTCGCTGGTGGGCGATTTTGAAGATGAAACATTATTTAATATATTTGGATTCGATAGACGAAATGCTGTGTAATGAAAGCCTAATAAATAAATAAACCGGAAATGGATGGCATTTTGATGGCGTGTAACTTATTAACTAGTGTTTAACACGAGGATAGATGCATAATGGTTTGGGTATGTTATGTTGCTTCTAAGATAGAACACTTAGTTTCTGTCGAAAATAATAAATATTCACAATTATACAAAAAAAAAAAAAAAAAAAAAAAAAAAAAAAAAAAACCTGAAAGCATTTGTAAGAAAATTTGGAATGACAAAATATGTATTATCAGGATATTTACCAGCATAAAGATTTTAAACATAGACCCTAAATGTTAGCTATCATACAACTATCTTAAAGTTACCAGATGTTTTCCAGATTTAAATACTATCGAACATGTATGGAGGAAGTTGAAAGTTCTATTGAAAGCAATTCTTATGAAAGAATGGAACATCCCTTCATAAAAAAATTAGGATAAAACGCACGAGAAAGGTTTTTCGAGCTAAATATTGAATGCCCCCACTAGTTTCATGTTTTTTATCAAAAAAAAAAAAAAAAAAAAAAAAAAAATATTTGTTGAAAGTTTCCGAATACTTATGTGAGTTCAATTTTAGAACTTTTTACAAAAACGTTTTAATATTTTTTTCCCCAAAACAAATGAGTTTTATAACAGATGATCAACAGTACACGTGAAATAAAACAAAGTCATTTTGGTATATTTAGTAAGTAATATTTAGCAACCCATATTTCCATATAAAATCAAAAAACAAACGTGTCCAAGAAGTCAAAGTGAGATGACGTGTTCAAAAAATCAACGCACAGTTCTAATAACTTAAAATAGTAAATAATTAAGCCTTTTTTAAAAATATCTTTAATGCGCTAAAACTTCGAAACACTGAAGCTGGTTTTATTAGGCAATTTATATTAATAGAATGATATACATAATTTATGGCCGCTAACCGGTATAGAGATTAGCGTCGCTGAGCACTATACTATACCTGTTCGGTTCGAATCCCGGAGAAGGCATGGATAATTGTAAATGTATAGTGTCGGTTCAGCTTGGCGGCACTCTAAAAATGTTGGGAGCCGAATGTCCTCTCTTGTGGTTTGGCGGAACGTGAAAGGAGAGGGAGACCCTCGGACCGTCCCCCCCAGGAGGATCTCCATCAAAATTGGGGGCGGAACTGAGTTAAATGGCACAGTCACCTGAAAGGCGGTCAAGGTTGTTGCCAACGGCAGGCGTAATCTTGCGCTCCTTGCCACGAGGAATTTCGTGGGCTTATGCTGACTACGTCAGACAAGCGAGCATAAGCAGCAACAACAACAACATAAGTTATGAAAGCTTACTTAACATTTAGTGAAATTATTAAAGTTGTTTCAAATTCAGGAAAATTTCAAGCTTGGCTTCACGTTAGGTTTATAGTAAAATGTAGTTCTTTGTCGAGAACGACTGTTGGCTATCTTCAAGAAATAGAAATTGGCTGCGCCAGGAAACACTTCATTTAAATTGACAGATTGAAACTGATAAATGAAACAGGAAAGAGAAATATATTGGAGGAAAAAACAGAAACTGAAGAAACAATTGTGTGATAAAGTTTTAAAAATTTAGGGCAAAAATTTAGCCACCTGTCATTATGCTGATTCTCTCTTAATAAAGATTGAATTTTACAAATTATTCTGCTTAATTTACTACTAGAAGGGGAAAAAAACACTTAATTTTGGCGTTGTTAATTTCCGCCTTGATTTAGAGATACTAAAATTACAAACTACCTAAATTGAAAGGATTAGCAATATATTTCCGTAATATCCACGATATAAAATAGCTGCAATTTAAATCGGAACACCTGAAAGAGAGTTTTGAATGCATCTCACATTGCTTCTCCGAGCGTTAATTTCTCATTAGCCAGTTAGAACTCTTTCATTTAATCTGTGCACTTTCATTAAAAGGGAGATTTGCAGCCTTTACAGAAATCCAGCATTTCTCGGTCTACAGGTCAGCAGATAAATTTATCTTAATAGAAGGCGAAACTGAAGGTTAGTTTGTGTCCTTCCGAAACAGCACCATATAACCTAAACCGTGAACCGCCATAAGATATATGTGCCTCGACCTCATTCTTCAACGTCTACTGGTGCTGATTAAACATTAAACTGGCATCTAGACTCAAGGCCCTGAATACCGTGTCGGTCGCTGTCCAGTATCTCCAGCCTTAATCACCTCTTAAGCACCACTAAACTGGAGATTTGTGGAGATAGATGGATCGGTGTTAACTGCCCTTAAAGTAAAGCGTTGCATTTAATGGCACTCATTGCAAGCGTAGCCTTTCTGACTTTGATAAGTTACGGATCAATGGAAAAGTTGTTGCCTCGTCGTAAGATGGTTTTTAAAGACTTCATTGCTACTCTAAGATATAACTATATTTTTGCATTTATTATCATTCTAGACTAATATATAATTAACAAATATAAATAAAATAAATTTTAATATAAATGGCAATCAATTCAATATTTGAGTCGAAAGAGTCACTTTTTATGAAACGAGAAATTTAGATTACACTTTCAATGTTTCTGTTTTCAACAACCGAATTATTTTATAGCCTCGATTATCTAAAACAAATGGAACTAAAATATGCAATTATCGATCATTATGATACATAGCGTACTAGCTAAAATTTGTGAAATGCGATATATAGCTAAGAAAATAATACCAGCTATTAAAAAATACCTAAGAAAATAATATCAGTGGCAAATTGCTTCATGAAAACACTAGTTAATTTCATGTTTAAATTAGGATTAATTGGATTAACCAGACTTGTTTTTCTGAGAATTGAGGTTCACTTCGAAGCAAGGTCTCAAATGTTACAGTTGTAATATTAATATTACAACTATAATTATTATGTATTAGTTTATTAATTTCTAATGTGTAATAAATTTTTATGATATGCTAAATAATCAAGAGTCTGTCGCATTCTGCAATAAAAAAACTATAGAACGCAAGAAAATTATTTTTAAATAAGTACCGAATTTTATTTGAACGTACGATAAATGAAAATAATTTTCAGAAGTAACAAAAATGTTTTTAAAAATGTAATATTACTTATTGTAGGAAAAAGGCACAACTGAAAATATTTAATTATTCCTTTTTCAAATTTACGTTATGTTTTTCTTAAATTTATGAAAAAATAAATTTATCTTTACTGTTTCTTTCATTCCAAAATATTTTTACGTCAATTTTTTATCAGCTGTAGGAATTATTGATACTAAATCTAATGGAACTAATAGCTGTTGCAATTTTAAAGACTTGCGTATTTTTAAGTAATAAAATACCATTCGCAAATTTAATATAGATCAGTGCATGATAGTGAACTACCTTAAAGAAATAAAGCCAGATTTCTCTACCAATAAATTTACGTTTTATTAATATTTGGCAAAATGAATTTAGTTTCACTTTCCAAATAAAAAAGCTTAATGAATTCCATATAATAAATGATAATGCTCTTTTTCTAGAAAACAAATTACTCTTCTAAACGAAGCTTTCAGATAGAAGAAAAACGTATAGATTATTCCTTGAAATGCACTGAAAAGATTCTTTAAAAAATAATGGCAGTAATTTTCTATTTTCTGAAATCTAATTTTTCGTGGTTATTATATCTAGCATTTTATTATTTAACAAGATTCGATAAAAACAGGTAGGGGGAAATTAAGTTATATTTTGTTGAAAACAATGGGACTACATTTCCGAGTCTTATAATATTTTTATTCTGCTTTCAGTATTTTGATTTGCATATTTTATTTTTTATCAAATTGTAATTATCTATTTCAATATCATATTCTTAATTTTTTTTCTTGTTGAATTTGAAAATGTCTTTCTCACCTGCTGTAGCAGTAAGACTATCGTTCGTCTCTAGTTGCGCAGTAATATTTCTTTTCATTTCCTAATGCGTTTACAACTTTCCCTAAAAACAGGTTTATATCGTTAAGACATTTTTTTTTTTTCTGTTTGAAGGAGAGAAGAGGCATTGTATAAGATAAAGCGAATGTAAAATAAAATCCTAAGCGTCTTAAGTCTACTTCTAAATTTGATCATTTTACTACTTTCTATCCTAAAATCAGTAACATTCTTAAAAGGAATCTTTTTGAGATGTGTCATTTAAAATTAATCTTTGTATTATGATTTTTGCATAAAGGCTCATGACGCATGCACTTGCGTAACCTTTCAGCTAATAGTAACATTTGCGAACTAAAACGCTTTCTGAACCAACAGATATAAAACAGAACCATAATCGCAGTCTCATCTGGATACTGTTTTCTCACTTATTGGGTTGCTAAACTATAATCTATTGTTTTGCTGCTTTCACTATATACAATTCTTTGAATATGTGAAACTGTGCATTTCGTGTCTGTAGCAGAGATGGACGATCAGCTCCGGAACCGATTCACTTTACCGAACGAATGATCACTGCTCCGGCGAAATCGGAACGGGAGTTCTTTAACAATTCACCGAGAGCTGTTATGGGAAGCGTGGGAAAAAATATTTCTTCTTAATGTAAAAAACTAGCAATCTTTCTTACTTACCGGAGACGTCTCTGACGTATGTTTTATGTGTGCATGTGTGTTATGTATGTATGTATATATGTGCTTTTGGTTTGCTTGTGTTCCATCTAGTGTTTAAAAAACAAAACATTAAATAAACCGATGCATCTCAGCGAAACTGATCATCCATGTTTGCAAATGGATGGAGTTTCTTATTTCCCCATCTGTCACAGCGAGGATGTGTTTAAAGTATGTAGATTATAGGAATTAGTTCCTTGAATTCCCAGCTGATAGCGTTCGGGTGCTTCTTTCACTAACTAGTGGCAGATGTGAGTCCTTCGGAGTAGTGATTATTCGCTCTCTTTATCCCTTCTACTCTGGCCGCGGATCTGATTCCTGAGGAGTCTTCATTATTCGTTCTTTTCATCGCTCCCACTCTAGCCGCAAATCTGGCTCCTGCGGAGCCTTAGTAATTTCCTCTTTTAGCTTTCTCAGAGCTGTTCCTTTGAGTTTAATTTCGATTCTTTGACTCCTGTGTCATAGCTTTACATATTAAGTATTACACGTTTTACACAACATTAATGTAATATTTACGTAAAATAATATATTATACTTTTATTTATTTACTTATCTTACTATCATGATCTGAGGAGACTGATTACTGATTACTGAGGAGTCTTCTTTATCATGTGCTTCTAGGTCGTGTAGTGAATATTAATTCGCAGCATATACACAAGTATTACCATTTTTCGAGAGAGGGCGAAAAAATGCAACTAAAACCTTTTTTATATAAATAAATGTCTGACATAATTTTGAAATTCTACCTAGTCATTGTGCTATCATAAAAATACATCAAGTGTTTTAAAAATACCTTATATATTTTAAATTTTTAATTAATGAAATGCATAAGTCAGTTTCTTTAAAAAAACTATTTAAAGGGAAGAGTAAGAAAGGCATGTTTACTTTACCAATAAACTAGCTAAAATGTTTTTCAATAATTAATGAAAAATTTATTTTAGACTTTCTGGTGTTCGCCATCTGCCAGAAACATATACGTATGTATGTTTTTCCCTTAAATCTCATTGATAAAATTTTCCATGTTCATAGTTTGTCTTAAAATTCCTTCCAGTTTTATAATTTTTATTGCACATAATTTCCATAAAGTCAGAGGAGAAATAGTTCTTCTGCTGTTAAATTTAGAAGCAATTTTCTTTAGAAAATAGTTATTAACTATTTAATTATCTATTAAGCTGAAATCTTTCATTTATTTTTGCTCATGTGAGAATATAAAAACATCGTTTTTTTATGCTCATAATATAGGAATATTATGATATAGTTATTTATAAAATTAAAAAATAAAACATTTATTTTATATCAATATTTTGCTTGCATAAAGTCTGTTTGTATAATCATTAAACTTCCTACTAAGAATATTTATATGCAAAATACATCATTTCCACCATTAGTAATGGTGATCTTCCAACAAAGATTTTAATCACATACTTTATCTACTAATTGAATAAAGGTAAAATGAATAGTGAAAATTATTAATAATAATAATAGGAGTAAACACGAAGTACGATGTTAATTAAGGTTTACTATTCAGAAATGTATTATGTAATTTACAATCTATAAAAAATAAATAGAAGCAATTTTAGTTCCATAGTAAAGATTATTTGATTTACTTCATATCTAATTCTTCTAATTACAAAAATGAGTAAATAGTTATAAAATATGGTTGGATATATAATTTTTACTTTAAACTATTAACCTAATTATAATTTTCCATAAATGTATTTGAGAAATTCCTTGTCGAACTTAGTAAAATTGTACTTGGAATCAATTTTTAAATGCAAATTAACAAACACACGCAAAAGCAACTTTTAAAAACTTATAAAATAATAACTTGACGTAATTAAAAATTTTCGTCAGGAATGTAACACTCACTGTCCTTTGAGAATAGAAAAATTCACTTGTGATGGATGCATTGAAATATATATTTATAATTTATTGAAATATTTGAGGCTTATCTTTCTCTCTTGGTAATTTTTTTTTTTTACTTTTTGAAAACTAATTTTGAACAACTAAAATTTTACAAATGATTGTCAGCCAATGAATATAAATACTGAAATTTACCTCCAGGACACAAACTTTTAGTTTTGTAGGCAAGGTGATTATAATATATTTGTATTATAAAATATCATATTTATTTAGTTTGATATTTATTTATTATATCATCGGTAATTAAAATGTTAAGTTATGTTTGTAAAAGCACCTGCTCAGAAAAGACATAGTTTGTGCATCAATGCCGAAGGTTTAGAAGAAGATCTATAAAACTCTTGAGAAATTAATGGCAAAATATAATATGATACATGCAGTCGGAATACACTAGAAGTTACAATGAAATTGCTTATTAACCGAAAATGTAATTGCACTATCGTAATAAAATACAACAGTTTTAAAATCATGTTTCCTTAATTGTAACCCTTTGACTACGAATTATTTTTTTACCCCGTTTCTTATCCAAGTGAAAAAAGTATGCCATAAATAAGGTAAATTTAACATTTGTGAGTTTTTTGACAAACGATTTTCAAACCAAAGGCTCGGACACATATGTCCTAGCTGTAGTTAATGGTGGGATACATATGTCCCATACGTAGTGATCGACGGTGTGATAAGCACACCTATTATTCTGGAAAACTTTATTATATGAAATAGATTTACATCATACCATACAGGGTAAAGCAGTCTTTGCATGACCCAGCATTACACATTTGGCAACTCATATTTATCATTTTCTCTATGTTCACTTGTGTACAACGATTATAGCGGCGTCTTGATTTTCGAACTATTGAAAGATGATCCCTAACATTCAGGAGTCAGGAGATTCTGAGTATTTCTTAACCCAGCAATAATTTTAAACGTTTAGTGGGACATATATATCCCGTCAAGTAGTCAAAGGGTTAGTATGTATCTTACCTCATTCTTTAGGAATAAAATGCCTGTCATTCGATGTAATTAAAGAAATCTTCGTCTGCCTTTTCCTGTAAATGTACATGCCAATGCATAGAAAAACAGGCTACAAACTTTCTACATGCTTGTTACTCATTTATAAGCAAATGCAAGTGTTTCTTATAATACACAGTAATCCCATATCTTTCCTAGCTAGTCTGTTACTCAATTCCATATGCATGATCAAAACACTTAAATTTATGGACTCTGCACATTCCTATTCCATCCCATGTACTTGTACGTTATCTAATTTATTGTACATATACAACATTTAATGCCCTGAAAGTTATATATAAAACAGCATAAAAATTGTGTAACGATATGTGAAATGAGGGAGGGTATATTGTATTGTCTTTTGTTCATTTATGACAAGAACAGCAATTGAAGCTTAACAAAGAAGATTACGGAATACTCAGCTTCATAATTTCTGACCATGACTCAGTACTGAACTGCTTCTTTTATAATGTAATAACTTCTGTAAATTCTACTCAATACGTTCATGATAGTCTTACAATGAAATTAAGTGAAAGACATTGACAGACCTAAGTTAATATAAAAGCGTTATCGCAGATACGATAAAAATTACTTTCATAATTGTGTAAAGCTTCGTTACCCATCAGCATTGGAAAAACTCAGATTAAGACTGATTCTAAATAACGCTGTTGGAAATGCCGGAACTTTGCAACGTTTTACCGATATTTTGCACCTCTTAATGGTCTCAAAATTTTTTAGGTTGTAACTAAGCATCGCAGGTTAGCAATCTGCTGTTGGGCTCATTCTTACTAACACAGTTTGTATATTTAGCTTTATTATTAAGCATTCCTTTCTTCGCACTTGCTCCTCATAAAATTCAAGAGCAGAATTGCAAAACTACTTAAAAGCAGTATATGTTTAGAATTTCCGATAGAGTTAAGGATTGCCATACTATTGTTACATTTGCTATATTATTTCTTTGGAAACTAACTGTTGAAGCGGCAATCCGCCTAAAAGATTTACCTTAAAAATAATATACATATACTGATTTAAATGAGTTCAGCTAAAAAAAGTATTAAATAATTCTAATTCGACATCTCATGATTTAAATGCATTTTTATTTAAATCAATTCAGATTAAAAAGTAAAAGAAATATTTTGAAGAATTTTGAAGAATTACCGCTTTTAAGTTGGTTTATTACTCAGTAATAGAAAAACTAAATATCTTAGGCTTTACTGAACAGCAACACGTCGGCGCATGGAGATAATAAATATTTAACCGAGGTAATTTCATTCAAACAGCCAAATTCGTGGATTAAAACTGAAAGGTTATAAAAATTTTCTCTCGCCTTTGTGCATGCAAATGTGGTGTAACGGTAGCACATTCAGTGCGTATTCGAGAGGTCCAGGTTCGA